AACTGGAGATCAGAAATCAGCTCCAACATCTAACCTGTAATTCTATCACAAGTTTTTGGATTTAGGAAATGATTCAAGTAAATCAGCTATCCTTGGGGGATGGAGTTTGACAGTATAAGCCCCCAAAGGGTTGATTTTAACTATTCAATTTAACTCATAAGGGAATGCTGGAGATTAGACAATGTTTGAGGTAGCTAGCTGTCTTACTCTGAGGGGAAGACATGAATTGAAGTTTTCCTGTGTTCCTGTTAATAATGGTGAGAAATTTTGCTTACTGGGAACATTAATTATGTGAACTGGAGAAATCATGAATGCTAAATGTCTTAGGTTAGGGGATAAGGGGGCTACAGGAAGCCACTTGTGATTTTCACTGGCTCAAGTTTATCCACAACTTTAGGATTAAAGGGAATCCTCCATTCTCTCTGTGTACTTTGTGCCATTGAAGAGGGGATTGGGTTAAGAATTTGTGATCTTAAACCACTGAAATATTCAAAAAGATGAACCACCACTGAGACTTACAGAGGAAGCTGGTTTTCTGCAAGGCCACAGGACTTCTGCTCTGTCCTTGGGTGTTCTGTTGTCCCCAACTGTGCATTCGGATTTAACCAGAGAATTGAGAATGAAAACAACAGCAAAATGCTTCAGTCCTTCAGCTTGCCAGCGCTAGAGAACACACTGGAGAGCCATGATGCCAAAATCAGTGCTTATCTTCCCTGACACTGGAAATTCAGTGTTGTCCGTGGACTCAAACCAGGAAGGAGAGTACACAGCCAATTTCTCCAGACTCATGGGCGCAAAGGGGCTTACAGGGATTACTGAAAATTGACCACTGTGTTCAGCACATTAGTATGATGATTTAGGGTCCTCAGCACTTCCCCATTCCAGGTGATCCAATCTGGCTCTCTGCATTTTTCTTAAACTGAGATGGGTTCCTTGCAGCCTATCTGGGTACAGGACAGAACATTTCTTGGATGATGAAGTTAATGATGATGATGAAGAGAAGGAAAAGATTGCCTTGAAATCGGAAAGTGTACTCAGGATGCATCTAAAGATGTCAGCCAAGTAGGGAATCAGATGCATGGGATCACAAGAGAAAGCTGGACTGGGAATAATGCAAAAGAAAACCCTAACCCATTCAAACCTGGATTAGGCTTGCTACACTGTGGTTACTGATTCAAAATTTCTGAAATATTTATAGAGGAGGTGGTGAACTCCCTTGCCATCACCATCCCACTCCAAATAATATATTTCTGTTTGTAATCATAACTCCACAAATTTTATGAAAAAAGTGCATCCACATCAAAAGGACTTCCTCTTTGTTGGACCATTGATCCTTTGCCTGATACTGAGTTGTTAAAGGACAAATGGAGAGCAAGCAGAAATGACATGCATACACATGTTAACAGATAATCAAGAAAGTTAGAACTTTTATCCTGACTTTAACTAATATGCTATCAAGACAAACCAAGGATAGTATATAAATCTAATGTTAGTAGTAGATGAAGATATTAAAAGTATCAGAACATTAGGGAATGAAATGAAAATCTATTTTCCATTCTCTTCTTCCTCTTTTAATCAATTTGATTACAAAACATTCCCAGGCCTTTATATCATTATATACAATATAATATTAGATTTTAAACTCTAGCCAACTAGAGGATTCAAAAATAAAAGCCAATAAAATGGAATTTGGGGTATTATTATTATTATTTTCCCTGAAGTACTGGAGATTGATCCCAGAGCCTCACATATACTAGGAAAGCACTCTACCACTGAGCTACATCCCCAGGTTTTGTTGTTGTTGTTGTTGTTGTTTTGTTTTGTTTTGACATAAGGCCTCAGTTAGTTGCTCAGGTTTGCCTCAGTCTTGGGCTTCTGCTGCCTCAGTGTCTGGAGAAGCTGGTATTACACATGGGCACCATCCCACACCTGGCAATCAAAAGTCTTAATATAAACAGATTATTCATACCATGCCACAGAAGAGAATTTCCTCACTTCCTTCATTCATTATACTTTACCCTAGTAGTTTTTTGGGCTCTCATAAATAGTATGATTTCTGTTGGTTAAAAGCACAAATGCTCTCCAAGGGTGCATATGGTTATTATTTTCAAATTTCTAATCTAGATTATTGGTGGTTTTTATTGTTGCCTTACAATGTGAGATGAGAATAGAAAGGGAAGAAATAATTGACATGCAGCTGAGATGGTTGAAATCTGTGGAGTAAGCCAAGGAAACAGGGTTAATGGTCCCTCCTATGTGGCTGATTCTAAAAAGGAGGAGCTTCACCAAAATCCATACAATTGAAAGTGATATGAGCAGTACGATTTTTTTGGCAAGGATGTGGGGAAAATGTACATTCATACATTGATGTTGGGACTGAAAACTGGTGCAACCAATCTGGAAAGCAGTATGAATATACCTCAGAAAATTTGAAATGAAACCAACATTTCACCCAGCTATCCCACTCCTCAGTTTATACCCAAAGGAGTTAAAATCAGAATACTACTGTGATACAGCCACATCAATGTTTATAACATCTGAATTCACAATAGCTAAATTATGGAACCAACCTAGATGCCCTTCAACAGATGAATGGATAAAGAAAATGTGGATGCACAATGGAATATTACTTAGCCTTAAAGAAGAATGAAATTGTATCATTTGCAAGTAAGTGGATGGAGCTGGGGAATATTATGCTAAGTAAAATAAGCCAATCCCAAAAATCCAGAGGCCAAATATTTTCTCTGATAAGCAGACACAGATCCTGGTTTACTGGCTGAGACATTTGAATTTGCAACAACACAGTTCTGTAAAAAATTCCAGAATTTTTCCATTTGGGGTTAATTTGTTATATTTTTTTATTCTAAACTCCTGGAGATATATGCAATGTTATGGCTTTTGTAACCTTAATTTACAAGGTTATATTGTAAATTTACATTAGGTTTATATCAAAATCTAATGCCTTCATTCTTCTCTGACATTATCCAACTTCTAAAATTATTGAATATCATTTCCTTCTTGTATTTCTCAATGGACCTTGGAAAATACAAAGATCCTGGGTATGTTACAGAAAGCAGAAAGTTTAGCCTTTGGGAATTCAGTCCACATAAGTCAACAATGACATAGTCATTGATTACTAAAGGGAATGTTCCTTGGATCAGAGATTTTAATCATCTTTGCCTATGGAAGGGATCTAGTACAGCATTGCACCCCTGATCCTGAGGGTTCTCTTGCAACCCTTACACTCTGTGTTCTCCCTATACCTAGGGCATGTAGGATCTGGATATTGCTACCATGGTGATGAACTACTACCCCCACCCCGCTTCCCATCCTTAGGGAATGTTTCTATGTGTGTGTGTGTGTGTGTGTGTTTGTGTGTGTTTGTGTTTGTTTATTTGTTTGTTTGTTTTCACCTTCTTCTTCTCAAAACTGTGGGTTCCTTGGGGTGCCTGTGAACAAATCTCTTTTTATGTTTAGGTGGGGCTGGAGAGGATAATACAAATGGCTGAAACAAAGACAAGAATGAGTAAGTATATTTAAATTCATCCACATAAGAAGGACATTTGTGAATCAAATAACCTATTACCTCACAGCTTATTTTCAGCCAAATTGTTAACTAGCCACAAAGAATGATATTAACAATTCAAAATATATCTTCACTATCAACAAGAAAACAAATTTTGCAAAAATCAGAGATCAAGGTGTGAAAATACCTTTTCTAAATGCTTTGCTTTTTAGAGAGAGAGAGAGAGAGAGGGAGAGAGAGAGAGAGAGGGAGAGAGAGAGAGTTTTACTATTTATTTTTTTAGTTTTCAGCAGACACAACATCTTTGTTTGTATGTGGTGCTGAGGATTGAACCCGGGCCACACACATGCCAGGCCAGCGCGCTACCACTTGAGCCACTTCCCCAGCCCATGAATTACCTTCTAAGATTAACATTTTGGATAATAAGAATATGGTAGTACTACCCTTCTGATCTTGGAATTTAGAGTCTAGGGGCAATAAGTAAATATCAATTTGAGGAGCATTTGTTGCATGTTAGAAGATAGTATAGTATACTTGGAGTGTGGAATAAGAGAAACTATCCTGGTATATGGAGACAGAATGGCTTTCTTGAAAAACCTTTGAACTGAGATATGATGACTAGGACTTGCAGAAATTATCTGTCAGATACCTGGATCTACCCAGCTAGGTCAGATTTGAGAGAAATCTAATCACTTTAGCTACTTTCTGTTCATTAGTAAGCTAAGATATAAATCATTTCATCATTCTGCCACAGGTTTGATTAAAAAAATGTACATTAAACTCATAATTTTCATTGTTGATGAGCCTTGAAAGTTTTATACTAAGTGAGAAAAGATACAAAAACAACACATATCCATTTTCATGAACTTTCTGAAATACACAAATCCATAAAAACCTAAACAGAATTCCAGGTACTGCGAAGTGGGAATGAATGGGAAGTTAATGTTAATAGGTATTGAATTTTTTTGAAGGGAATGAAAAATAACCTCAAATCATTTAATGGTGGTTTCACAACACTTTATTAAAATAAAATTTAATGAGCAAATTTATAAATTCAACGCGGTTATCACAATTTATGGCCATAAAATGATTACACTTCCTTAACTTAAAACAGACCCCCAGACATCATGTGTAGGCATGTAACATAACATGAGAAACTCCCAAGAACACAGTTTCTTCAGACATGGGCATTCACCAAAAAATTATCATAGTTTTTTGAATTTTCTCGGTTATTTTCTTTCATTTTTACAAATTTATTTATCTTTTTTTCTTTTCTCATTACTGTGGATGAACACAGAGACTCACACAAGTTAGGAAAGTGCTCTACTACTGGCCTTCAACTGTCCCTTGACCCCCATTTTTATCTCTCTTTTAAATATCCATTCTGTCCTCAAAACTTGTGGTCCTCCTGTCACAGCTTCCTGTGTAGCAAGGATTAAGGGTATGTGAAACCATGCCTGGGAAAACCTCAATTTTATGGAGAACCAAAGACAAGAAAAGGAGTTAGAGGGGATGTGAAGGAGGAAGAAAAGAAACTGTAAATGAGGGAACCTCGGCAAACATCATAGAAGCTCAGAGTTTCATTTTCATAATCAAGAAATACTCCAACTCGACCTGCAGGCCTTTGCAAATAATGAATTAAAGAAGGAGAGTTGGTGGAGAGAATACAGTGATTGTTCTTCTTCGAGGAAAATAAGACAAAACCTTTCTTACCTTCAAAACTGTCACTTGTAAAATCTTTACACACACCTATAATCCAGTTGGAGGTGTTCCCCACATCCACCTCCCAATAGTGTTTACCAGAGTTAAAGGCCTCAACACCCCATATAACATAACTCTCCAGTGTCTGGGGATTTTCAGTTGCACCATCACCTCCAAATATCCTATTTCTAACTTCATCAGGAAGACTCATATAGCGATTGGCCCATCCTTGAATAAGTTCATTGTGTACTGAAAAAAAAAAAAATATCGGATCAGTAAATGGTGTCTGCATGCCTTGGGCAAAGATTATCTACCTACTCTATCTCTTTATTGACTCCTCCTTAAAGAAACTCTAGAGAGTAGAGAGATTTCAAACTCAATCATGTATGAAGAATGGTTCCTATGCCCTCATTAGCACCCAGAAATCTTTAAATTATCTTGGCAATCAAAAGAAAACTGAAAGTATTCTGTACTGTATGAAGGGTGATTTAATATCTACTTTTGGATGGTTTGTTTCAGAAAAAAACCCAAAAGTCCTTTTTTCTTTAGTAGAAATCTCTTCTTGAGTTGTTTTTTTTTTTTTTAAATTTTTTATTGTGGGTTGTTCAAAACATTACAAATTTCTTGACATATCATATTCCACACTTCGATTCAAGTGGGTTATGAACTCCCACCTTCACCCCATACACAGATTGCAGAATCACATCAGTTACACATCCATTGATTTACATATTGCCATACTAGTGTCTGTTGTGCTCCGCTGCCTTTCCCATCCTCCCGCCTCTCCCCTCCCCACCTCTCCCCTCCCCTCCCTTCCTCTTTCTCCACCCCCTCCACTGTATAACCCTGAGGGTCTCCTTCCATTACCATGCAATTTCCCTTCTCTCTCCCTTTCCCTCCCACCTCTCATCCCTGTTAAATGTTAATCTTCTTCTCATGCTCTTCCTCCCTACTCTGATCTTAGTTACTCTCCTTATATCAAAGAAGACATTTGGCATTTGTTTTTTAGGGATTGGCTAGCTTCACTTAGCATAATCTGCTCTAATGCCATCCATTTCCCTGTAAATTCTATGATTTTGTCATTTTTTAATGCAGAGTAATACTCCATTGTGTATAAATGCCACATTTTTTTTTTTATCCATTCGTCTATTGAAGGGCATCTAGGTTGGTTCCACAGTCTTGCTATTGTGAACTGTGCTGCTATGAACATCAATGTAGCAGTGTCCTTGTAGCATGCTCTTTTTAGGTCTTTAGGGAATAGACCAAGAAGGGGAATAGCTGGGTCAAATGGTGGCTCCATTCCCAGCTTTCCAAGAAATCTCCATACTGCTTTCCAAATTGGCTGCACCAATCTGCAGTCCCACCAGCAATGTACAAGTGTACCCTTTTCCCCACATCCTCGCCAGCACTTGTTGTTGTTTGACTTCATAATGGCTGCAAATCTTACTGGAGTGAGATGGTATCTTAGGGTGGTTTTGATTTGCATTTCTCTGACAGCTAGAGATGTTGAGCATTTTTTCATGTACTTGTTGATTGATTGTATGTCCTCCTCTGAGAAGTGTCTGTTCAGGTCCTTGGCCCATTTGTTGATTGGGTTGTTTGTTCTCTTATTGTCTAATTTTTTGAGTTCTTTGTATACTCTGGATATTAGGGCTCTATCTGAAGTGTGAGGAGTAAAGATTTGTTCCCAGGATGTAGGCTCCCTATTTACCTCTCTTATTGTTTTTTTTGCTGAGAAAAAACTTTTTAGTTTGAGTAAGTCCCATTTGTTGATTCTAGTTATTAACTTTTGTGCTATGGGTGTCCTATTGAGGAATTTGGAGCCCGACCCCACCGACTGTAGATCATAGCCAACTTTTTCTTCTATCAGACGGCGCGTCTCTGATTTGATATCAAGCTCCTTGATCCATTTTGAATTCACTTTTGTGCATGGCGAGAGAAAGGGATTCAGTTTCATTTTGTTGCACATGGATTTCCAGTTTTCCCAGCACCATTTGTTGAAGATGCTATCCTTCCTCCATTGCATGCTTTTAGCCCCTTTATCAAATATAAGATAGTTGTAGTTTTGTGGATTGGTTTCTGTGTCCTCTATTCTGTACCATTGGTCCACCCGCCTGTTTTGGTACCAGTACCATGCTGTTTTTGTTACTATTGCTCTGTAGTATAGTTTGAAGTCTGGTATTGCTATACCGCCTGATTCACACTTCCTGCTTAGCATTGTTTTTGCTATTCTGGGTCTTTTATTTTTCCATATGAATTTCATGATTGCTTTCTCTATTTCTACAAGAAATGCCGTTGGGATTTTGATTGGCATTGCATTAAACCTATAGAGAACTTTTGGTAATATCGCCATTTTGATGATGTTAGTTCTGCCTATCCATGAACAGGGTATATTTTTCCATCTTCTAAGATCTTCTTCTATGTCTCTCTTTAGGGTTCTGTAGTTGTCATTGTATAAGCCTTTCACCTCTTTTGTTAGGTTGATTCCCAAGTATTTTATTTTTTTTGAAGATATTTTGAATGGAGTGGTTGTCCTCATTTCCATTTCAGAGGATTTGTCGCTGATATACAGGAATGCCTTTGATTTATGTGTGTTGATTTTATATCCTGCCACTTTGCTGAATTCATTTATTAGTTCTAATAGTTTCTTTGTAGAGCCTTTTGGGTCTGCTAGGTATAGAATCATATCATCTGCAAATAGTGATAATTTAAGTTCTTCTTTTGCTATTTTGATGCCTTTAATTTCTTTCGTCTGTCTAATTGCTCTGGCCAGTGTTTCGAGAACTATGTTGAACAGAAGTGGTGAGAGAGGGCATCCCTGTCTTGTTCCAGATTTTAGAGGGAATGCCTTCAGTTTTTCTCCATTCAGAATGATGCTAGCCTGAGGCTTAGTATAGATTGCTTTTACAATATTGAGGTATGTTCCTGTTATCCCTAATTTTTCTAGAGTTTTGAACATAAAGGGATGCTGTACTTTGTCAAATGCTTTTTCCGCATCTATCGAGATGATCATATGGTTCTTATTTTTAAGTCTATTGATGTGGTGAATAACATTTATTGATTTCTGTATATTGAACCAGCCTTGCATCCCAGGGATGAATCCTACTTGATCATGGTGTACAATTTTTTTGATATGTTTTTGTATCCGATTCGCCAGAATTTTATTGAGGATTTTTGCATCTAGGTTCATTAGAGATATTGGTCTGTAGTTTTCTTTCTTTGAAGTGTCTTTGTCTGGTTTAGGTATCAGGGTGATGTTGGCCTCATAGAATGAATTTGGAAGTTCTCCCTCCTTTTCTATTTCCTGAAGTAGCTTGAAAAGTATTGGTATTAGTTCTTCTTTAAAGGTTTTGTAAAATTCTGCTGTATACCCATCCGGTCCTGGGCTTTTCTTAGTTGGTAGTCTTTTTATGGTTTCTTCTATTTCCTCAATTGATATTGGTCTGTTTAGGTTTTATATATCCTCCTGACTCAATCTGGGCAGATCATATGACTTAAGAAATTTATCCATGCCTTCACTATCTTCTAATTTATTGGAGTATAAGGATTCAAAATAGTTTTTGATTATCTTCTGTATTTCTGAAGTGTCTGTTGTGATATTGCCTTTTTCATCCCGTATGCTAGTAATTTGAGTTCTCTCTCTTCTTCTCTTCGCTAGCATCGCTAAGGGTCTGTCGATTTTGTTTATTTTTTCAAAGAACCAACTTTTAGTTTTGTCAATTTTTTCAATTGTTTCTTTTGTTTCGATTTCATTAATTTCAGCTCTGATTTTCATTATTTCTTGCCTTCTACTTCTTTTGCTATTGTTTTGCTCTTCTTTTTCAAGGATTTTGAGATGAAGTATGAGATCATTTATTTGTTGGTTTTTTCTTTTTTTAAGGAATGAACTCCAAGCAATGAATTTTCCTCTTAGAACTGCTTTCAATGTGTCCCATAGATTCCGATATGTTGTGTCTGTGTTTTCATTTATCTCTAAGAATTTTTTAATTTCCTCCTTGATGTCCTCTAAACCCATTGATCATTCAGTAACCTATTGTTCATTCTCCAAGTGATGTATGCTTTTTCCTTCCTTCTTTTATCGTTGATTTTCAGTTTCATTCCATTATGATCAGATAGGATGCATGGAATTATCTATACTCCTTTATATTGTCTAAGAGTTGCCCTGTGACATAATATATGATCTATTTTTGAGAAGGATCCATGTGCTGCTGAGAAAAAAGTGTAACTGCTTGATGTTGGGTGGTATACTCTATATATGTCAATTAGGTCTAGGTTATTAATTGTGTTATTGAGTTCTATAGTTTCCTTATTCAACTTTTGTTTGGAAGATCTGTCCATTGGTGAGAGAGGTGTGTTGAAGTCTCCCATGATTATGGTATGGTGGTCTATTAGACTCTTGAACTTGAGAAGAGTTTGTTTGATGAACATAGCTGCACCATTGTTTGGGGCATAAATATTTATGATTGTTATGTCTTGTTGGTGTATGGTTCCCTTAAGCAGTATGTAGTGTCCCTCTTTATCCCTTTTGATTAACTTTGGCTTGAAATCTATTTTATTTGATATGAGTATGGACACTCCTGCTTATTTCCCAAGTCCATATGAGTGATATGATTTTTCCCAACCTTTCACCTTCAGCCTATGTATGTCTTTTCCTATCAAATGCGTCTCCTGTAGGCAGCATATTGTTGGGTCTTGTTTTGTGATCCATTCTACTAGCCTGTGTCTCTCAATTGGTGAGTTTAAGCCATTAACATTTAGGGTTATTATTGAGATATGGGTTGTTCTTCCAGCCATATTTGTTTATTTCTGTTACTAAACATGGTTTGTTTTCCTCTTTGATTATTCCCCCCCCCCCTTTAGTGTCCTACCTCCCACTGTTGGTTTTCATTGTTATTTTCCATTTCCTCTTCCTGTAATGTTTTGCCAAGGATGTTTTGAAGAGATGGTTTTCTAGCTGCAAATTCTTTTAACTTTTGTTTATCGTGGAAGGTTTTAATTTCATCTTCCATCCTGAAGCTTAATTTCGCTGGATACACAATTCTTGGTTGGAACCCATTTTCTTTCAGTGTTTGAAATATGTTATTCCATGATCTTCTAGCTTTCAGAGTCTGTGTTGAAAGATCAGCTGTTATCCTGATTGGCTTACCCCTAAATGTAATCTGTTTCCTTTCTCTTGTAGCTTTTAAAATTCTCTCCTTATTCTGTATGTTGGGCATCTTCATTATAATGTGTCTAGGTGTGGATCTCTTATGATTTTGCACATTCGGCGTCCTGTAGGCTTCTAGGATTTGGGATTCTGTCTCATTCTTCGAGTCTGGGAAGTTTTCTCATATTATTTCATTGAATAGACTGCTCATTCCTTTGGTTTGGAGCTCTGTACCTTCCTGTATCCCAATGACTCTTAAGTTTGGTCTCTTAATGTTATCCCATATTTCTTGGATGTTCTGCTCATGGTTTCTTAACAGTCTTGCTGAGCTGTCTATGTTCTTTTCCAGTTGAAATACTTTGTCTTCATTGTCTGATATTCTATCTTCTAAGTGTTCTACTCTGCTGGTAGTATTCTCCATTGAGTTTTTAATTTGGTTTATTGCTTCCTGCATTTCTAGGATTTCTGTTTGTTTGTTTTTTATAACCTCTATCTCCCTGTATAGTTGATCCTTTGCTTCCTGGATTTGTTTGTGTAATTCATTGTCGAAGTGATCTTTCATTGTCTGATTTTGCTGTTTAATGTCTTCCTTGATACTCCAGATCATCTGAAGCATGTATATCCTCAATTCTTTATCTGACGTTCCATCTGCTGCAGCTGTTACCTCTTCTAATGTTGCGTTGACCTGCATTGCTTGTGGTCCTTTCTTTCCTTGTCTTTTCATACTGCTTGCGTATCTTTCCTGCAGGTGCGGGCGGCGGCTCTGCTCTCTCCTTATTCCAATTGGGGTGTCGTTGCTACCACGCCGGCAGGTCACTGGGCCTCTTCTGGGCGCTGGCGGTGGCTCTGTTCTGCCCCTATTACAATTGGGGTGACGAGTGTACCACGCCGGCAGGGCATCGGGCCTGATCCGCCGGTCGGTTGCAGGTTTGCCTACCCTGCAGGCGCGGGCGGCGGCTCTACTCTGCCCCTACTCCAAATGGGGTGACGTGTCTGTCATACCGGCAGGCCACTGGGCCTGTCCCGCTGGTCGGTCGCAGATCTGCCCACCTTTCGGGCACGGGTGGAGGCTCTGCTCTGCCCCTACTCCAATTGGGGTGTCGTGACTACCCCGCCTGCAGGACACTGGGCCTGTTCCTGGCACGGGTGGCGACTCTGCTTTGCCCCTACTCCAATTAGGGTGGTGTGTGTACCACGCCGGCAGGCTCCTGGGCCTGATCCACCGGTCTGTTGCAGGTCTGCCTACCTTGGAGGCGCGGGCGGCGGATCTGCCCTGCCCCTCCTACCACGCCTGCGGACCCCTGGGCCTGATCTGCAGGTTGGTCACAGGTCTGCTCACCCTGCGGGCACAGGTGGCGGTTCCGCTCTGCCCCCACTCCAATTGGGGTCACGTGACCACCACACCGGCAGGGCCTGATCCGGGCATGGGAGAAGGATCTGCTCTGCCCCTACTCCAATTGGGGTGATGTGTGTACCACACTGGCAGGCCACTGGGCCTGACCCGCCAGGCTGTCACAGGTCTGTTTACCTTGCAAGCACGAACGGCGGCTCTGCCCTGCCCCTCCTACCACGCCCATGTACCACTGGGTCGCGGGTCTGCCCACCTTGCGGGTGTGGGTGGCGGCTCCGCTCCGCCCCCTCTCCAATTTGGGTCATGCGGTCACCACGCTGGCGAGCCGCTGGGCCTGCTCCGGGCGCTGGCGGCGGCCCGGCTCCTCCCCTCTGGCTCAACGACAAATTGAGGAGACTCGGGTGTCTGTGCCTCACCCCCCCTACCAGGAGGCCAACTGTTTCTGTCGCCGCTGGTATTGATGAAGTTCTCTCCTCCGCCGCTTTCTGATGACATCAGATCTCTGCCATGTTGGTATCCTATGCGAATGGCAGCATTTTGTTCCCCTTGCCTGGCAACCAAAGCAACGGGTGAGTCCTGACCGGCCCTCAGCAGGACCCGGACCGAGAAGCAGTTTCCCCGGGCTCCTAGCCCCGGGCCAGGGACGTTCCGGGAGCCGGAACTCGGCCGCTCCATGCTCTGTGTAAGCTCCTATAAGAGTAGGCTCCAGGAAGCAGTCCCCGCGGGCTCAGTTCCGGGAGCCGGAATTCAGCCGCTTAGTGCTTGGTGTATGCTCTGATAGGAGCAGGGTCCAAGAAGCAGCCTCCGCAGGCTCCGCAGCCCTGGGCCAGGGCGGTTCCGGGACGGTTCCGGGAGCCGGAACTCGGCCGCCCCGCGCTTGGTGTTCACTCCGATAAGATCAGGTTTTAAGAAGCACCCAGGCACTGAACCCTAGCAATCTGTCTGCAAGCCGCAGGCGAATGGCAGCCTGAAATTACCTGTTCTATGGCTGAATGAGCTGCGGTCAGTCGAAAACAGGGATGGTGACGTCAGCTTTCCAACATGGTGGCTGCTGGCCTCCTCTGTGGTCTGACCGGTGTGGAGAACCGAGATGGACCGCTTCCTTCCCCCGTCTCGAACCCAGAATTCAGCCCTGAGTACGGTGCTTGCACGGCTGGCAGAAACTGCAGCGCTGTATCCCTGCGTCGCTATCTCCTCGTTTCCCAGCGCGCACTGCAGACTCTAGCCGCGGGGCAATTTGCTGAATAAGCAGTGTTACCCTCCGTGTGACAAACCTCTCGCGTTTGAGTCCCCGTAGCCGATCCTCGTGCGATAGAAATCCTTCTTCCAGGTTCCAGAGCACCCCACTATTGCTGGAAATTCCTAACAAGATATCCTTTAGCTGTCCTGACTTGTCATACTCCCACACAGTGAAGCAGCACACGGGGGCAATGCACTCCCCTCGCCGCCATCTTCCTAAATCCTTGAGTTGTTTTTAATACCATTAATAAGTAGACATCACTTTGCTATGATTGTGCCTGCTTCATCATCACACATCAAATAATTTGAGGGAAAGCAACCATCTGTACCCTTTACTGAAAATCATCTCTCACTTCCATTATCTACTGAGACCATACATTCAATTAAAGTTGGATTTCAGCCTTCTGATATCTAGATCTCTTCTCTAGTGGGGCACGAACATGTCTGGGTCATGTTCAAAGATCACTTACCTTTCAGTTGTTTTGAAACCCATCTGATGGTATTAAAATTGTTCCATTTATGAGAAATTTAGTCATTTTTTGGTTCATTAAAAACTTATATTTTATAAATAGTAATTATTATTTGCTCATTGCACATCATAAACACACTTGGAATATAGAATAGATTGAAAACCACAAATATCATATTTAAATCTTCAAAATTAGAATAAATTGAAATAACACAAAATATTGATGGCTGCTCTGAGAAGTAAGCATTGCATTGCTTAATAGCCACAAAACACCAATAATATTCCTTCTCTTGTACTGTCTGTATCAGAAATAAAATATGTATCTGAACTATGAGTTAACCAATGTGGTCTTGATCACTGTATTATGACTAGACAGGAAAAGAAGATATAAATGTTTTCATTTCAAAAAATTAAAAATGGAAAGCATCTTTTTTGAGGAACCTACTAAAATAATTGAACCTGACTGCCAGAGGGCCCACTCCTACCTCGGAACTTGTTCAGCATATCCAAGATTCCAGTGATGTGTAATGAAGAGAGCTCTGGGTTCACTGGCTAGAGCTTCTGCATCTCCAGCAACTCGATTCTGTAAAGAAGGACATCAGTTACACTTTCAAACCAAAGATCATACACAAAATCATTACAAAATTACCACTTTTAATCCAAGATATTGTAGAAATTGCCCATGTTGGTGAATTAGGTATACATTTTATTCAACACTCTTGGGATTATATAATACTTTTTTTTCTAAATCAGATGTACTAATATCCAGTCTTTATTTTTCTCAAACATTATCAAACTTAAAAAAATTGATTGTCATCCCCTCCCTGTATTTCTGAATCAACCTTGGGAAATGCAAAGATCCTGGATATCTTACAGAAAGCAGATTGTTCAACCTTTGGAACTTTGGTACACAGAGGTCACCAATCATACAGTCATTGGTTTATAAATAGGAAAGTTCCTAGAGCCAGCAAATTTGATCATCTCTGCCCATGGAGGGAATCTAGTACAGCCTGGTAGCACTGATCCTGAGGGTTCTCAGGCAGCCCTTCCCCTCTGAAAAGGGGCTTTGCCATGATGAAACAGGATCTGGTCATTGTTACTCATGGTAATGAAGCTCTCCTCCTTTTCCCACGCTAGGGAGTATTATTCGTTCCTATCTTGTTTATATTCTACCTCACTAGAATTGGAATCTTTTGTGTGATACCTTACAAAAATCTCCTTAGTCAGGTTTATTGGGACTGGGCTGGAGTCCATAGAAGAAATGGGTGCAACAAAGCCCAGAACACCAAATCATTCTTAGGTATAGTTGAATTCAGCCACAAAAGGACATTTTTGAGACCAAGGAACATATTACCTCAGAGCTTCTTTTCAAACAAAATATTAAATATCTACGGACAAAGATGTTAATAACTGAAAACAAAAATTTCTCTTCTTCAAGATAAGAACAAGTTTCTCATAAACCAGAGATTAATACATAAAACTCACCTTTCAAATATGTCCCCTAAGTCCTAAAAGGAAAAAAGAAAGAGATAATATTAATAAAGTGAACACTGTTTTTCTGCATTCTCTCTGGTACTTTGTTCTCTCTCTCTCTCTCTCTCTCTCTCTCTCTCTCTCTCTCTCTCTCTCTTTCTCTGTGTGTGTGTGTGTATGAGTGTTTATGTGTGTGTGTAACATTTTTTTTTCTCTGAATAATCACGTTAGACTATGTTAATACCAAAGCCAAAATTAAATGTGAAAGACAGCCTTGATGTGCACTGAGAAGGATGGAGCTTACAAAGGATCTGTGCAGTAATGCAACAGGACATAGTTTCCAGTGTCACTCGACTCCTTTCTTAGTTCCCAAAACAGATTTGACCATCTCTGAAAATTAAAACTACACAGTGACCTATTTGAAAAATAGTGCATTGTAATTGATTAACAAACTCTGTACATCTTGTCTAAGAGAGGGGCAAAGCCTCAGCTGCTTTTGGGCAGGAGAACAGAGTGTGATAATGGAGTTGGGAAACATAAACTGAATATTTCCTCAACAAAATTAACTTTCCTATGATCACTGAGTTTTGAATAATTCGCTGTGGGTATCATAGTCTTAATGATACAAGAATTTTGTCTGGTTTACCTTCTAAATGACTTACAGTCTCTCAAGATTAACAGAATTTACAGAGACAGTGATTGGACAATGATGGGTGTAAAGGATCTCCTGTCACTCAGCTCAGCACAGTGGGGTCTGCAGACAATATTGCCCAGACAAAAATTCCTCTCTCTCAGGAAGAACCCTCCTTGGTCACCTGGAGCAACTCCATGTCAGATTTGTGGTACAACTCAGTAAGCTCTCTGTACATTTCCTTCAGCTTTTCTCTGTGTTGATCTATTCTGATTCCACTGTCTCTGAGCTGCTGTAAAATTTCCTGTGCTTCTCTTTCTAGTGTCTCCAGTTGAAATCTCTCCTCTTCAAGGAGAAATGGATGCATCATTTGATATTGAACTTTGATCATGTTCCTCCTTAAAACTACATAGTCCTGCAGATATATTCATTAAAAAAGATTACACTCAAAAGAAAATGTAAAACTTCAAATATTATTGTCTTAGCATCAAGCAAGTACTTCATATTCTTTCCACCTGATGCCTGCAAAGTGTCTTAAATATTTACTAGTACTGTTTACTGGACTTTCTGCTTCCTGACTCTCTCCTGATTAAATTAAGACCTCTGCAGGATCCCAGGCTATCTCCCTATGATGCCACTTCAGTGTTCTTAATGAATTATTTCTTCTTTACCTCAATCTTCTCTTTTATTTTTGTTCCTTTGTCTGATTCTTCTACATATTTTAAAATATTTTTATACACACTGTTTTGTGAATTTAGAAAAATACTCCACGTTGCCAATAGCTGAAAATCTATTTGTTTTCCGACTCTAGCACTAAGACTGTCTTATTCTCAGTGTCTGGGAAGATTTATCCAAATCTCCAAAGTTGTACAAGAAAAAAGCGTCATACCTCATTCACCCTATATACTAGTATTCTTCACACTAGCTTGTGTTGGTCACTACATTTTTAATATTACTACATGTCACTGCCTTGTCTGAGAGGAACACACTATCCTTCAATGTTAGCTCCAATTTAGCTGATAGCATCATTTTAATCTGCATAAAAATAAAACCTTTTCAAACTTACCACAAAGGACTCAGATTTTCTAATTTCTTTATTTAGATTATCTTGCATCTCCTTAGTCTTTTGCCATAAAGGATCCATTTTCTTTACAATTTTCTCCTGCAAAATTACCATAGGCTTTTAGTGATAGGGAAGACAGTCTTGTAGGTTTCATCTTTTGTGTGCTAGAATAAAGCAGTGTTTGGTAGAACAGTAATCTTGAGTTTTAAAGAGTCAATTTTTGCAAAATAGTCCAAATTAATTTTACTATTGGGTAAAGTAGAAGAAAAAATAAGATTTTTAAAGGAGTCCATAAATAATACAGTCTATTTACCAAGAAAGCAGTTTTTATATAGTCTCACTATAAAAGGGTTTGGGCTTCAGTAACAGAAGTTCATGTTCCTAGTGCTAGCCATCTGCTGTACTGCTGCACAATTTCACACATTTGAACAATATATTTACTTTTTAATTTGTTTTTCAGTACTGGATACTGAAAAAAAATTTCTCACATAGTACTCAATAATTTACCTCTGCACTATATCCCAGCCCTTTAAAAAAAGAAAAGAAGGAGAGTGTCTTGCTAAGCTGCCCAAGTTGGCCGCAAACTTAGCATCCTCCTGCCTACATTTGCTGAAGAGCTAGAATTATTGGCATAGACACCATGCCCTGTTTTTTGGATAATATTTCTAGAGAAAATTCCCTTCATGAGCATTCAACCTATTTATGATTTTAGTGTCAAATTGATCAGCATTTATACAGCACATTTTCATGGAAACATCACCACCTCTACCATCTGCATGCTTATCTGCCTCATTATGAAGAGTCTTCATCCTTCTCTTTGATCTGGACCCTACAGGTTCTAGATTACATCACTCACCCTGTTCTCCTCTGCCACGCAGGCAAGTGGGCTGTAGCTATGAACTGGGTATTCCGGTGATTCAGAGCAGGGTGCAGAGAGCAGACTCTTGTCCAACTCACAGAAGAGCCGCTTTGTCTCCCCGTTTCTCCTGCAGAGCTGCTCCCCAGAGCTGCTGACAGAGCGAGGTCTGGCCTGTCTGGCGAGAGAGGCCAGCTTCTTCAGGGCAGTGTTGGTCCTGTAGTCTGTCTTCTCTGCTATTTTTCTGCACTCAGGGCAGCACCTGGGTGTTTGGGCTTCCTCCCAGCAGAAGTAGAGGCAGGGTCGGCAAAAGGTGTGTCCACAGTCTATGGTGATGGGTTCTAAGAAGTAATTCACACAAATGGAGCATGTGAGTGCACTCTGGAAGTCTTGCAAGGCATGAGAATCCATGTTTCTGAAACCAAAAATATAGAGGGTGGAGCAAGAGGAAAGAGGGAGACAAGAGAGTGTTATCCTTCTATCTTGAGAAAATTACAATTATAAAAGGACTTTGGTCACTGCTTTTTCAGTTGAGTCATGCATAATCTTTCTATTAACTTCCTGCAATACAAATCTAGATATAAAAAATAAAGACAGGTTGAGTTTCTTCTATGACACAAATGACAAAATGAGATGATCATGATCTAGATTTAAAAAAAACAACAACAAAAAAAAAACTTTCTCATTAATTTGGGCAAGTTTAATACTGGGACAAAGAAAGTTTAGGATGATTTCAGACTTACATTAGGTGTTTGCTCTGGATACCCATATAAAATCAATCTCTCTCTTTCTCTCTCTCTCTCTCCCTCTCTGATTCAATGACTATGGTAAATGTAAAGACAGTCTTTATGACATATGTCTATGCTTTCCACCTCTCAACCCATAGATGTACTTTTCTAAAGACAATTAAAATTAAGATTAATTCATTTGAAGATTGCTTGACTTAATCACTGTTGGCTTCAACTTACAACTCCTGAAACTACAAACAGGTAAATTTATGCTTCAAACCATAATTAAACAATATATTTCAAAAAAGAAAATGAAAGTGGGATGTATCAATGCACCTCTTATCCAGCTATTTTGGAGGCTGAGGCAGGAGGATTAAAAGTGTGAGGCCAACCTCAGCAATTTATTGACATACTGTCTCAGAATAAAAAAATAAAGGGTTGCAAATGTAAGTCAGTTGTAGAGAAATCCTGTCTTCAATCCTTATTATCAATAAGAAATGAATTAAGTTTTAAATTGAAAATTAGAATATAAATTCTGGGGATGTAATCAGTGGGAGAGCACTTGCCCAGCATTTGTAATGTCCTGAGTTTTAGCCCAAGGACTGAATAGGAAATTAAAAAGAAAATTTCTATTACTTCTCATTAAAGAAAATAATATTTCTCAGAATCAGTTCTGATCATCAGAGTGTCTTCATATTTTCAGAAGATGGATGCACATTCTACAGTAATAATCAGCAATAATTCATCCATTGTTATTTAAAATAAAATCAACAGGAAAGCCCAGTGCAGTGGCACATCCCAACTATTCCAGCTGTTGGGGAGACTGAGGCAAAAGGACACTAAGTCCAAGGCCAGCCTGGGCACCTCAGTGAGGCCATTTCAAAATGAGTTGTGACACAGTGGTAGATTAGCCCTGAGTTCAATCCCCAATACCAAAAAAAAAAAAAAAAAAATTGTGACAGTGAGAGAGAGAGAATTAATTTACAATGGTAACCATGGTGCTTTCCTCTCCAGAGACTACCCTTCAGTTTAGAGATGCCTTGATGAAGCATGATCAATTCATCTTAATTTCTAGTTTTTTATCTAGTGATCAAATTTCCCACTTGAAAACCTCTACAAGTTTGTTGCATCTACTGGGGTACTTGTCAAATCTAGATTGCAAACTGAAGGTTTTAAAGGGACAGCAAATAGTACTTTCACATCAAGGGTTTTACAATCAAATCTATACCTTAAAATTCTAATCCAACCATGGTGGCACACGCCTTTAATCCCAGTGGCTCTGGAGCCTGAGGCTAGAAGATGGAGTGTTCAAAGCCTCAGCAAAAGCAAGGAACAAAGCAACTCAATAGTACCCTGTCTCTAAAAAAAATACAAAATATGGCTGGTGACATGGCACAATGGATGAGTGCCTCTGAATGCAATATTTGGTACTCACTAAAAAAAATCTAAATAGATGTGCATAATACTATTACATGCATAAAAAATATGTTGAACATTTTAAGCATTTTATGGGTTCTAAATTTGATAATACTGCAAAAATATTTCATTTCAGATCTGGAAAATCTAATAAAACACAAGGTAGGGCTGGGATGTGGCTCAAGCGGTAGCGCGCTTGCCTGGCATGCGTGCGGCCCGGGTTCGATCCTCAGCACCACATACAAAGATGTTGTGTCCGCCGATAACTAAAAAATAAATATTAAAATTCTTTCTCTCTCTCTCTCTCTCTCCCTCTCTCACTCTCTCTTTAAAAAAAAAACACAAGGTAATAGAATAAAAATTATTCAGATCACTTTACAGAAACAAATATTTTTAAAAAGGTATATATATATATATATATATATATATATATATATATATATATATATATATATCAGGAAAAACAAAGTAGTTTTTTCCACTTGGACAAACCCAATTAAGTTGAAAAGTGAATTCAAACAATTTTTAGGAAAGAAAGTAAACTGAAAAGCTTTTCTTCTAAGTATCCAACTCACCAGAGTCCGCTTTAAGAAAATTCATGTCTGGAAGTGAGGAAAATTTGTCAGTAACACTCAGGTCTCCAAAGCTCAGCAGCTGAAAATTTGGGCTGCTCCTTAGAGGAACCTCAGAGGAAAAACCATTCTCCTGAGAAGTGCCCTACTTAAATACCTGAGACTCACCTAAGACCACACCCACTATAGGTTACCTCTTCTAAAAGTGCTGGATCACACTATGAGATCACAGTGATTGGCTTTATATAAGAGAGTAAACAACTTTGATGAGATTTGGGGTCAGACACAAGAAAGTTCACATGACTTAGGTTTTGCAAAGAGACATTTTAACTGAAACAATTATTTTATTAAATGATACTTTGTTTTACAACAATAACATCTCAATTAAAAAACATTGATTTATTTTTCTACTGGTGTTTAAAGTTTGAAATATCTGATTTTGATTTCTTGCTATTCTGTTACTTCTTTCTTTTTTTTTGTTTTCTCTCTCTCTCTCTCTCTCTCTCTCTCTCTCTCTCTCTCTCTCTCTCTTTGGTACTCCTTATCACTGAACTGACAGTGAAAACCATTGTATGGCATGGTGGTGCACGCATTTGACCTCAGCTATGGAAATGTAGTTAAGTGGTAGAGTATCATCAAAAGTATTAAGGAAATAAGTCTTCTCAAACCTACACTAAATTTGGGGTAAATTTTTTCTACTCAATTAAAGAAATGTTTAGTTTACCAAAAGCAGATCTGTGGCAGAGTTAAGTTCAGGACTTTCTTTTGTTATAAACTGGGATGGAGCTTGGCAGTGTGATAGAGTAAACTTTCAAGGTCATCCACTTTGTGTTTCTTTGGCATCTGCCAAAGATCTGTTTTTATAAAACCCAAGTGTCATAGGTAATTTCATAAAGAGAAAGATCTGTCCTAAATCTGATGGATTGAATTTTTAAAAATTAATTTCAGATAAGAAAATGATAAGATACACACACAAACACACACACACACACACACACACACATAAACAGCCATATTGTACTAAGAATGATGAAATAATAGAAATCAACATGTTAGAGGAATAATGAATGATTCTACTTCCAGTAAAGCTTCAGAATTATTCTTCAGTGTTTTTCTTGTACTCAAGTATTTTTCTTGTTCTCAATTGTTTGATTATTTTTTTGTTTGTTCAGGGTATTGGAAACTGGTTCCAGTGGTGTTTTGCCACTGGGTTATATCTCCATCCTGTTAATGTTATTTATTTTGAGACCAGGTCTTACTAGATTGCTTAGAATCTCACAAAATTGCTGAGTCTGGCTTCAAACTTGCAATCCTCTGTCTCAGCCTATTGAGTTGATGAAATTAAAGGTGTGTAGCACCAAGCCAATCTCTAGTCCTCAGTCTTAAATAACACTCTGGATTCAGGTTTTTAGAGATGGAAAATATTAATGAGAAGCTTAATTAAGTTCTTCTATACTTGATTTTCTGAATTAATCCCAAGACATAGTTACATTATTAGGTAGTCTTGAGCTCTTTATTCTCTCCAAGCTTAATTTTTTAAATTTTCTTTTTCTTTTTTTAAGCTTAATTTTTAAAAAATTTTATTTCTCCATAACTTTAGCACTTCAGAAAGATGTTATGAATATAAAAGAGCCAGGATTAATGCATTACCTGGGACACAGTAAGCACCATATAAAGTTTTATCTGTCATTAAGACAGCAAAAAAATCCTAAAAGACTTTAATATCATTTATTTACAGATACAAAATTTGATATAAAATGTATAATCAGTTTATAACGAAGAACTAGAAAACATTCTTATTTTATTATGGCAACAAAGACCCCTGGAGATGGTCCTCTGAGGTATTTATGAAATGGGATCATCCTTTTATGGTTATGAATCTGAATCTCCCCATACTGAGCATCTGTGGGGGCAGTAAACCTCTGTTGTCAGTGTGTCTGGGCTGCTCACTCACACTCTTTCCAGAGAGGAAAATGAGAATCAAATAACCCAAGGGCAAAGAATTGTAATATGCTTTAACAAAGAAAGTACAGTGCTCTGGCTCTGAGTGGGGCACTTTTCTCAGGATTGGCAGTTTGTCTTGGTGGAGAATCAATAGACTTGACTAGCAGTTGCTTAGGGAGCTGATTTCAAAATACTCAATTAATGCTTAACCTAGACCCACTGGTTCTTATTTTGTCAACCCCTATGAATGACTGAGCACTAAGCACATAGTCTTTGAATTAAGCTACAATAAAAACATTGCCTACTGGGTGTCAGGGCAGCTGTGCAGTAAAACCTTCTGTTTTCTATCACTGATTTCTGGCTTGTTATAACATTAACTGGATTCAATTGTCAGAACCAAAAAAAAAAAATAAGCAAATACATACATAAATGCGGTATTAGATCAAAGAAGTGGTACACTCCCTCAAATTTCATGATTAAATTAATATCTACTGGAAATTGATCATTTAATGTGGGCTGCCTTCACTTTAATTGAGGATTTTTGTTGGTTAGTATATATGAAGAATTTAGCCATTGTCCAACATGATGAGTATATTTAATAATAATACATTGTGTGTTTGGAAAATAGTATGGCAGTGGATGTCAAGTATTTTATCTATCTATCTATCTATACTTACATACATACCAGGGATAGAACCCAGTGGGACTTAACTGCTGATCCAAATCCCCATTTTAAAAAAAAAAATTAAAA